CATTTTTTCTATTTGTATATTTAAAGATTTTGGGGGGTGTTTAGGTTAGAATACGTTTTATTTAACTACGATTTAAAAAATAAAATAAAAATTACGAGTTGAAATAAATTAAAAAAACTACGATTTGAAAAATAAATTAAAAATTTGTATGTGTACGAATATTTGTTCCCCCCGCCACAACAACTATATATATATATATATATATACAGTGGGGGTAAAACAAATATTCGTACATATACAAATAAATTTTAATTTATTGTTTTCTATATATATATATATATATATATATATATATATATATATATATATATATATATATATATATATATATATAGTGGGGGAAAACAAATATTCGTACACATACAAATTTTTTATTTATTGTATTTACAACTAATGAAGAAATATACTTTTCATATAATTGACTGTACACAGATTCATAATAACTAAATATGCATAGGAAACAGAAAAAAATTGATTTAATGGAACTAAATCCCATTTATCCATTTTAATTGGTTGAAAAGATATGTTCGTTCAATACAAAAAAGTATACATAATATTCATTTAATACTTTGTAGAATAGCCATTATTCAATTCTACAGCAACCAACCTCTTCTTGTACTTCTCAAATAATGATTTGCAAAATTTTGTTGGTGTTTTGTTCCATTCTTCTTTGCATTTGATCTTCAAATCCGGGATGTTTGTTGGAGCTTTCGATTGGATTTGAATTTTCAAATAACGTCACAGATTCTCGACTGAGTTTGAATCTTGGGACTGACTTGGCCATTTCAGGATATTTACGTTATTTTCAACAATTCATTTCTTCGTAGATTTTGCAATGTGCTTAGGATCATTATCTATTTGGAAGATCCACTCAGGAGGAGGTTCAAAATTTTCAAACGAAATCATTAAATTTGCTTCCAAAATATTTTGATATGCTGCGGCATTTATTCTACCATCTATTACTGATATGTTGCCAGTATCTTTTGAAGAAAAAAAATCCTCAAACCATGATGCTGCCACAACCAAATTTCACTGGTGGAACTGTGTTTTTTGTTTGAAGGCATTGCCATCTTTCCTCCATACATGATTTCTAGAATTAAGTCTAAAATTTTAGTTTCGCCTGTCCTTAATACTCTTTCCCAATACGATTTTTTCTTATGCTTATGTTCACGAACGAATTTCAACCTGGCATCTTCGTGTCTTTTCAATAGCAGTGGAGTTTTCCGAGGGGAGTGTGACTTTAGATTGTTCCTATGAATTTCATTGCTTATTGTCCGCTTAGTGATACAGATTCCTGGTGAAAGCAAATAGTCCTGCAATTTTTGACGAGTAACCATTAGATTTTGTTTAATTTGATGAATTAATTTCCTCAAAGATCCCGGAGAAATCTTCCGTGGAGCCCCCCACTCTTGTTCTTTGGTTTTCAACAATTTTCATTTTTTTTATACCTTGCAATGAATGCACCAATGGCAGTAAATGGAATATTCAAGTTGTCTGAGATTTTCCTGTAACTTTTACCTTCTTTCCAGGACTAAACAATCAGTTCTTTTTGCGAATTTGTAAATTCTTTACCTCTTGTCATGATGAAAACCTTCTTGCACGAATATCAATTATAGAATGTTCTGTGTGTATTTTTAGGTTAAAAATAACTACTGAAAATATTACTGGAACATTCTATAATATTCTACTTGAACAATCTAGTGTATTAAAGCAATTTAAAAATTTTTAAATCTGAAATTTGCATTGTATGAATACTTTTTCACCCATTAAATGGATAAATGGGATTTATTTCTATTAAATCAAATTTTTCTTTTTTCTGTGCATATTTATGTATTATGCATACACGTGTAGAGTTAATTATATGAAAGTATGTTTATTCCTTAGTTGGAAATACAATAAATAAAAAATTTGTATATGTACGAATATTTATTTCACCTCACTGTATATATATGTATATATAATCGCAAATATATCAATTGTTATATGCACCTTTATATATACTTATTGATCCATGATCATTAAATCGTGTACATAATTAAAATCGCATATATAAATTTAAAACCAAGCGTTAGTATTTTTTTTAATCAATTCAACCCTAGCAATGCGAAAGGACCGGAATCCCAATCCTAAGCAGGAAACAAAGGATAAACCTCTTCTCTTGTTCAAAAGTCTGGGGAGGAGTGTTTATGTACGTTGTATTATATAAATAAAGCATCTCTCTATTTTAGAAAATGTAATTTTCTATATCTGACATTATTTCTTATGACTAGAAATGACTGAGTGCACGTGGATAAGTGCTTTTCATGTTTTCTTCAACTGTGAAACCGGATTGTATCGAGAAGTTCTACGAAAGAAAAATGTACCGCACGACGGGAAACGAAACTGAATCCACTTTATTCATCAGGGAGAATATTCCTATAGGTGAAGAGGTCTCTTACCAATTTTGCTTTAAGAGAGAGAGAGAGAGAGAGAGAGAGAGAGAGAGAAAGACAGAGAGGGTGAGACACAGAGAGAGGGTACTGAAAATAGGCATGGCTCAATTACCCACATTAGAAATGCTTATCTCGCGTTGGGACTTTTTTGAAACTATACATGTAAGCTTCATTTTTGTATCGGAGACGTAAATACAATAATTCTTTAATGGATTTTTGAATCAACATTATTTACTATTTTCACGGGATATACGTGTTTGAGTTGACATCTCTGTTTTTTTTTTTTTTTTTTTTTTCATCATTATTGCGTTCTTAGAAGATTTGTAGAAATATCAACGAGAGATGAATACTCCTTCAGTGGGCGATTGAAATCTGCTTTACCATGGCGGTCTCCTGTGACCAAATTTAGCTATATGAAAATTGTTCCTGGTGTAAAATGGGTATAGAGGTTTGATTCCTGCCCGAGGTGGGGGGGCAATTTTATTTTAGTAAAACTTCTCGATCTAGGTAACAATAACAATAACAAAAACAGGAATGGCAGCTCATACACGTGTACAAATTAACATTTGAAGTAATATAAAATACACAAACGTAAACCTTGTTGTCATTGTTTTTGTGCGTTCACATATACTTATATAGTATTCAAACATAAATATTGTTACAATAATACACACGTACATACACACATACATATATAATTATATATTGATAATAAAAATATTATTATCTTTTTCTCACTAATAACACGATCTTCTGATCATTACAAAATTTAAACTTAGATATCCGTAGGGAAGACCCTATATTTAAATAAAAATAAATGTAAAAAATAAATTAAAAATAAGTAAATAATTGTGAAAAAAATTAAATAAATAATATATACACATATAAACACAGTTGGTGGCACTGACACAGACAAGTAGTTGTACAGAATTCTATATTATTTTATTCATGTCAGTATGATGGCTGCGACTCGATTTCGAGCAATGCCTTGGCTTGATCTATTCTCAAATATAGTCAAAACGGATATGTCTTTTTATTTCTGCTAGGGTCTGAAATTGTCTTGTTCATGTGGCAACGTAGGGCGTCTTTGGCAGTTCTTTTTACATAAATGTCACATAACGTGTAATGCACAACTGTGTGTATATGTGTGTGTGTGTGTGTGTGTGTGTGTGTGTGTGTGTGTGTGTGTGTGGCGTCTTTGATTACTTTTGAGGCCTTCTCAAATTAGACATTCACTAAACGTTAGATCAAACTTTGTAGCAACATGTTCAGGCAAATTAGCATCAAGAACATTATCAATATTGCCCTTGAGTTTTCATGTGCAGTAAGATTCCGTTCAAAGTCTTTATTATCAATATGCACTGCTTTCCTTCAGCCTCAACGATACACAGTTAGGTTTTTCCTGTCATTTTGCATGATGCTGGGTAATTTTAGGGTGTACTTGATGCAAACTTTAGAGCTCAATTTCAGTTTATGCGCAGCCAATTCACCGTATAGAAATTACTTAGGTATCCTATCCTCCTTCAACCTAACAACAAGAACATACACCTAGATAGAAGATCAAATTCGAATATTAAGTTAAGTATACATGATAGTAAACTATATATATATATATATATATATATATATATATATATATATATATATATATATATATATATACTGAAGTCAGAATCGAGCGGTGACAGTCTATTTCATGCTTGAATGCAATCTTCAACCATCTACCTATTTATCTCTCTCTCTCTGTATGTATATATATATATATATATATATATATATATATATATATATATATATATATATATATATATATATATATATATATATATATATATATATATATATATATATATATATATATATATATATATATATATATATATATAATGATGTTACAAGAAAATTGCTGTTGGTAGAAATCATGGTTTCTTTGGTTAAGACGCTAGGTATCAGAATATGTCACTAAGGCTTTCTAGCTTAGTGAATTACGAACGCGTTACCTCGAAGACGGTGACCACACTAATTGTTGTTTACTAGCTGTGCAATGTTCCTTACATTTGTATGCTTGTAACGCAATTAAATAGATGAATGAATATATATGCGCATGAATATATATATATATATATATATATATATATATATTCGTTTTTAGTTTTTTTAGTAACAATATCTTCTTTTCTGCATCCTTTCCATTAACGATTCCCATTACGCCCTCTTGTATGAACTAAAGAGGAAAATGGTTCTTACACCATTTAATTTCTCCGCTGTTTTCCCAGAAGCCAAATGAAAACCAGCCCACAATAAAACCATTCTGTTATCCAACGGAAAACAAACAAAAGAAGCAAAAAGAAAAAGCAAAACAAAAAAAATGAAAAAAGAAGAAGCAAAAGTTATTTCGAAAATTGCAGGCAAAAGCGAAAACAAAATGGCGCATGCAATATTAGCATTTGATGATAATGCGTGCATCTCACGAGACCTCGCTGAAAGAACGAGAGTCAAATATTGCACTCCAGCATGCGCTGTTCTGTTCAAAGTGACGACCGCGTGCATCGCAAAGGCATGAATTATCGGTTGATAAAAGGAAAGAGAAGATGACTCGTCTGGATTGAAGCCGATAAGGCTTAGTATAAATGAGCGCTTCATTATGTAATGTAATAAGAAGAGAATTTCACTTGACTTGTTGGACGAGAAAAAAGATAAACACATGCATTCACACTAAAACGCAAATAGCAGTTAGAAACGATAAATCTGCTTTTCGAAAAGTGCGCGCTCTTTGCGGCAAAAGTCGATATTACTTCTATCAGTAAATTTGCCATAGAATTAGTGATGTTGCGAATTGGATTGTACATATACACTCCAAATTGGGTGATTTTCATGATGTGCTCATTACTTACAGCCTTTTACCACATCTAAGCTATGCTTAGTAAATCACTATACTATCCGAATTGTATTGTTCATATACCCTCCATATAAAACCACCTGCTGTAGAGCGAAGATGAGCAAGATAATTTCATAGTCCATTTCTAGTGATGTGAGTTCGATCCTCATTACGTGCCCCATTTTTGTGTCCCTGTTTCGGGCCAGACTTAGTTAAAAAGAGTACCGTAATATGATCATCCCGTGTCAGAATGTTTAATGTGTAAGTCTCTCTAAGCATGCTATAACAATAATATTCCGAAACAATTGAATAATAATAATAATAATAATAATAATAATAATAATAATAATAATTCAAATATATACATGACTAGGCTGGAAAGATGATCCCTCGGAAAAAGGTCAAACGATTTGAATTTGACAATGTAAGACAAAATAAATCCCTCACTCAAAAGTAAATGACCTGATTTCGTCTTGGTAAACAAGGGAAAATAAAATTTGCCTGTCGCTTTTCCCGTAGAAGACAGTGCTGGAAAATAGAATGAAAATACTGTCCATGTGTATCGTGACAAAGAAATGAAAAATGACAGTAGTACCCAGAATAATTAGAGTACATAGAAGGATCCAAAAAAAATCTCAGGAAGAGGCAAAATTAGAAATCCGTGTATTTTTTAAATCAGCAACAATGTCGAAGAATTAAAAATGCCTACTTTTGGAGTGAAACTAGTTGCTAATGATGTGGAAATTCGTAAATAATCATATCTTTACCAACGTTAATTATCATAATGATTCTGAGGAAGTTTCTAGTCATTTTAGGTTAGCGTGTTGCTCCCCCATTTGAGTTGTTCTGCTTGTTGAGTTCTGAAGTGGTTTGGTCGCTCTGCGCGACTGCATCACAGAGTATCCATAGCAACAATCTACTTACGCTCTCATAAAACACGTGATACATTTATTATGACTCGAACTTCTCGCCGCTGACTCAGACCCTGGCTATCATCAGCACACAATGATTAAGCACTCAAACACACAATCATACGTGCGCACATACAAGTGCGCGCACACATGCTCATATATGCTCTCTCTCTCTCTCTCACACACACACACACACACACACACACACACACACACACACACATATATATATATATATATATATAGAGAGAGATGATTTGGAAGCATTGCAGACAGTTATAATTATAGTGAGTTCAGCTCACTATGTTTTAATGATCTCGACCATAAGTTAAGATTAAATATATATATATATATATATATATATATATATATATATATATATATATATATATATATATAAACATCCACGGTCTCCTATATTGATAACTCTTTACCTATATTTTAAATAATATATACTAACTCTATCGACAAAACTATTAATAATCGGGACGAAACGCTTTTCTTCGGATTTTTCCATTATGTCAATCATGTATCGATTATTAGGCTGATGAATAAATTTGTACATCTTCCGAATATATATATATATATATAGTTTTGTCCTTCGATGTCTGATAGATGCAATTTTTCTTTCTTTTATAGTTGATAAAAATAATAGTACTCATCATATTACGTTGAGAGGAGATGGGCATTCTCAGTCTTTCCTAGATCAGTCTTGAGCGTACTTAGATTAATAACAGATATATTTAAAAGAATATCCCTACAAAATTGTGATAGTGAAATTTTAAAGAACTTTCCCTTCAGTCGTGGATATAAATTTCGAACCAAATGCACGTTCCGCGTAAGATTATTTTTTGTTTTAGACAAACTAATTGAATGAATAAATGTGACGATAACATATGTGACCAGTTGTAGAAACGCAGAAAGTATTTTTGACAAACTTTTAAAAAAAAGTATGAAACTTTCTATTTAAGAAATTGATGAATATGTTGAAAGCTGACATTCTGGGAATTTCGAACTGAATCGTTTATTATGGCGGGAGATTTTTCTCTTTCCGCTGTACAAGTCAACTCCTCTTATTCCGTTTTCGTTCGGTTTAATTCTTGATCATCCTGTTTCCACTGAGTCTACACCTGTAAGTCTAATTGTGAGAGTTGTACAAAGTTAGATTCAGAGGAAATAGAATCAACAAGAACTGAGCAGTATTATAAAGAACAAGGCGAGATATCCTAGAGGCATGGACATCGGAACATGAACACTTTATAAAATAAAGTTTAGCTTAAAATCCTGACGATAAACCAAACTCACAGATATCTGAAGACGGCCGAAACATTGCGATAACAACAAGAAATATGAGGATATTAGACCGAATGTAAATAATATAATGATAAATCCTCATCCCAGAAAGTCAGACAGAAATTACGCTAAAGTTATTAGACTGATAATCAAACTTATTACACACAAATATATATTTTTGTTAGGTGTGGCCTGCCTATCTATCTATCTATCTATCTATCTATCTATCTATCTATCTATCTATCTATCTATCTATCTATCTATCTATTACGTAATATTTTATCTTATATCTTATATGAAATCTTTCTACATTAGACAAGGAACTTAAAATTCTTTCAGCATTAGTAAAATTAGTCTCATGTACATATGCACATGTTTGTGAATGCTGATCGCACTGGCATTTGTCTGTAAACAGAAACAATTATGCAGATGCGCAAAGGCACTAAGTGTACTGCATCCCTGCAAAGAAACGTTTTGTATAAGGAAAACATTTTGAAGGACCAAAACACGATTGTTTATGAAAATTTCAATTTGCTCTTCTTTTACACCTGATCATAGTATTTTGTTTTTCTGTCACATCCGCAATGAGTGAATTGTAACTTTTTCTTTTCTTAAACTTTTCTTTTCAAATGTTTTATTCCTATCCTCACCAAATATCGTGCTCTCTATTCCCATAAAAGTGTCTTTCTTTCTTTCTTTCTTTCTTTCTTTCTTTCTTTCTTTCTTTCTTTCTTTCTTATTTTGTTGACGTTTACAGCAATAATGCCCCCTCCCGCACCTTCATATGTATTTTTTTTTCTGTATTCCTTCCTTTCTTTTTGTTTCCGGTCTGTTTGTGTTATTTCTTCCCCTTTCCTGCTATCTTATTTGTTCTCTTTTGATTTGCCCCTTTCAATTTTTCTTTGACCGTCCTCTTATTTCTGGATTCTTTCTTTCCTAACATTTCTTTCTTATTTCCTTCCTTTTATTTCTTTTAATTTCATTACCCTTCTTCATTATTCACTTTTTGACTTTCTCTTCCTTTTGCCCCTTCCATCTTTTCTATTTCGCTATATTTATAACTTTCATTTTTTCTTAGATCACGAAATTCTTTCATATTCTTCTTTTTTTCTTATTTGTCATTGTTTTGCTCTCGCTTGTTCTCTCAATGTATCGCGTCATCTCATTTCTCTCTTTTTGCGTAATGCATTCTTTGTCTCTCATTCTTTTCTCCTCCAAATTAATTTCATTTGTGCTTCGTGTCAACATCTTACTTTCACTTTTACAAATTTTCTCTGTCTCTTTCCTTCTGCTTCCCGACTATTTGGTCTCCATAAGCCAAAGGTCAAAGCATAAACATTCCTTCAAACAAAGTGAATATTCCCTAAAAAAAAGAGAAAATAATCCACTGAATTTTTGTTTTTACTTTCTTGGCTTCACGCTATCGAAATGTCAAAGCATTTAATCGCTTTCAAATAACATCTTTTAAATGTTTTCCCCAAAACATTTAAAACGTCTATTAAATCTCGTTCTTTTTCTTATTGGTTCTCTTTTCTCGAATCTTTCTACTAGAAATCCTCTTCTATTGCAATTTCTTCCAGGTTCCAATTGGATTCTTATTTTTCCTGCTTTTATCTTGCATGTTGTTGACAATATTTGAAGCATTTCTCTCTCTTTATTGAATTCGATCATTGAACCTCGTTTGTGAACCTCTATTTGCCTCATTTCGTTTCTTCTCTAAGGCTTTTTTTATCCAGACTTCTTTCACACTTTTCACATTTTACCGATTTCATTTTAAAACTACACATTTGTATTTATATTTCATATTACTTTACATAAAATATTTTTATTATCTAGGAGGCTCGTGTATAAGTCGATTTAATGTACAGCTAAACTCTTGATTTTGTCCAGAATAAAAATAATTCAAGATAAAGTATTAGGTCGATCTTATATATAAGGGTTAATAGATTATCACATTAGGTCAACAAAGTGCAGCCTTTATTGGATATAAACATATTTTAATAAACTTTCACAAAAATCTCCATAACTCTGATAAACTGAAGGTTTGTCACCGAGAGATGAAATACATATTTTTTATCATTCATTATCATACCCTTTTCATACATTTCAGCAGAAATTATTCTAGATTTCTATTCAAGAACAAACAAGAATAGAATATTATATTCCAACATTTTAAAACTGAAACGCCATTGAAAAACAATTGCGACCACCAACCTACTTTACAAGGAAATACATATGATATTTCAGTAAAAAAAAACCTTTCCATAAATTTATTAAATAAAGGAGATATGAATCAAATATCTTTGACATACCAATTTATTTTCAACGAAATGAGTTGGTTAGTTGTTTTGCATATCAATCTCTATAGGTCATTTAATGCCGAAATCATTATCTTTACGCATCTTTATTTTATTTTTCGATAATAATGGTTTTGGTGATAAAAGTCGTACTAATTAACCCATAGCCAGGTGAGAAGAGGTGGATTCCTACCTTTTCCAAAGGTATTTGTACGTAAGTGAATATTACGGACCCAACTGGAATTGGAACCTGGTCCTCCGAGCTTACAGCACCTGATATTATCAAGCTAATGACCAGGCTTGACGTTACTTAAATTCGATGATAATACGGGAATCGGCATTTCAACGTGACGTGTCCGTAATCTTCAACAAACTGAAATACAATATATAAGCTTTTATTCAATAAAACCTTCCATGTATTAATGTAAAATAACCACCCTAATGTACTTTCTTATTTCTAAAGAATGAAGACTGTATACATCTTTTCATCATTAATTGCAATGGATTTATGTCATCATGGTTTTCCAAAATTTGACCAAGATGCATAAGTCAAAATTTTTAACGGGATTGTTGATCTGGTAGAAAACCTTTTAGCATTCTCTTGCAGCAATAGGTGCATATTTTTTATATCTGAAAATAAAAATCGCTCCTAGCCCTTTCTGTTAGCACAGATTTTAACCTAAGGAAACTAGTATTTTTATTTAGAGCAACATTGTACTTTAACATTTATTCCTAAAACCCAATTTATACGCGACTTTCATTCTATATACAGTTTCATTACAGTTCTCGTATTCAGTAAATGATGTGAAAAGTGGAGAACTGACCGTAGGTGTTAGTAGCATCACGCTGTAAATATCGTCTTGTTACAAAAACACCGATGGAAAACCAACAAATAACACAGCTCGGATATATTTTTGATGGCTCTGGTCGAAGTGTTGGAAGGCAACAAGAAGAAAGATTGTTTCACATATTTCGTTGAATTTAATGGCTTTACCATTTTCTCCACAAAGCCTGTTTATTCCACAAACCGAGCAACATTTTTCATTTTTGCTGTTCATCAATTTTTCTAGTTTGGAATATCTATATTTATCCACACTAAAAAACAAAAACAAAAAGCGCTTTATTATTCCAGCAAATATTGATTTTCCGCTTTTCTGTCGTCTCCGAGGTTCCTTACGTTTTCAGCGACGACACTATATGATATTGCCATTGCAATTTTGTGAGGAAGATCTAATTAGTAAACATGGCGTTTTTCAAACATGAAGGTCACATGTCAAATAAGCACGGCAAGCACTCTATCAAGTGTCTGAACCTTATTCAATATTGTTTTTCATTTAATCCGCCTAGATTGGTATTCAGTGGTCATGCGCACCCCGTTAGGAAAAATGGTGTCCAGAGATATGACTAGAATTAGACGGTGGCATCTTTCTCTACATGGATTTTTGCTTTCGTTTTAACCTTTATTTACAACAACGACAACGACAAGAATATTAATGATATATTCGGTTATTCTGAGATGAGTCATTATCATTGCAACAATTGCTAGTACTTTTGTCTTTTTTTGTTAAACGCCATTTTTGTTCGACAGAACCATTTTTCAGCGTTCCTTAGGTGTATAGACCGAATGAAAAAAAAAAACAAAAAACAAAAAACAAACTGTTGGTGAATCCACTAGTTGGATCAACTCATTACGTGACACAGTGATGTCCTATTTTATACACGGGGTTGATTTCCAGTGCATATTATTGAACACAAAATTCCACGCGTTATGCAATTTCTAAAGTAGGGCATGTACGCAGTTTCTTTTAGTTTCTCACCTACCAGCAATATGCTTTCCTCTGTTTCTCTCGCTTTTGATACATCCTGCATTATACAAATACTTCAACTCTTCCTGTACCCAAAATATTTCAGCCTCTCTTTGTGATTATTAATTATAGTTTAATTGCAGTTCCTATTCTCTGAATATATTTCACATTTGTTGCATGATAGTTTTACAAACCCATCGATAAAAACATGTCGTGGTTGTTTTAAGTTTTTTTTTTTTTTTGGTTTGTCCTATATCATTCGATGCCATATAAAAGATTTAACATTACATAGCATTCCAACATTCTTTTATTGTTTTTAAACAATAACCGCTAGGCGGTGTGATAATATATATAATAATAATAATAATAATAATAATAATAATAGTAATCCATACAAATTGTAATATATCTTTGAAGATCTTCAAAATCTAACAAAATAAAAGGATCCTGAAATGGAAAGATGCGGAACATGAGGGCATCAATAATTTTAGTGGTAGTTGGAGCCCTCGAGTTGATTGTAACAGGGCCAAATAGACTCATTTGAGGGATTCCTGGTAGCCCACGCCTTAAAGAAAAACAAAAAAAAATGTACTCACAATTACAGCTCACACATTACGAAGAGCTTTATCTATGTAAAATGTGTGTGATCTCAGTTATTTTTTTTTACAAAAATGATCAATGGAAAATGTCATGAAGTCGTTTCTGACCTTAGGTCTCTGGTTGGGACCCAGGAAGAAATGATTATACAACAGAAATCAAAGGAAATAATAATAATAATAATAATAATAATAATAATAATAATAACACCAATAGACCATACATAGTGATTAAAGACTTCAAACAGACATGACAGTCCCATTAGATAAAGAATATATTTGTTAAAGTATATGCAAAATAAGTAAATATAAGGATCTTGAAATTGAAACTGAAAGAATCTGGCACCTTAAAACTATTGTTATACCTGTAATAATTAAAGCCCAGTTTATTATAAAGAAAGGTACAGACAAGCACATTAACAAAATCTTTGGAAGCCCCAGCTTAAAGATTAAAAAGAATTGCAATATTTGGAACTGCTCATCTAGTCAAGAGTGTGTAATCGATGTGAAGAAAATATAAACACTGTATATATTAAGTATCATTTAACATAAGAATTTGTGCAAACAGAATGCATGTATTTACTACATTGGTTTACAATAATGAAATAAGAATTCTACTGAGAAGAAAGTAAACAAAGGTACTACTACTACTACTACTACTACTACTACTACTTAAAGGTGTTAGCATGTACATGTTTTGGGTTGGTTATTTAAAATGTGCTACGGTAAATATCTCGTTCAGTACCATAAATTTGTTTGTCAGTTGCCTGACCATAACCATTTGGGCGTCTCTCCTAGGGGCTGGTACAGTATACATCTATATTTATGATCAGGTATAGTAGTTAAATTGGGGACAGTTAGATGTATTTTTAAAGTTTTAAGGATGGGGTAGCCAAAGTGACATGAGAATCACATCTAGATACGTGAAAACATCTGAGTTGACAAGATTGGCCGAGCTGAAGGCATTTCTTAAGTGGAGTCAACCTACAAGGTTATGCGATGATTTTATCGAAACCTGTCATCATAACGCGCATACTTGGCTGTGATGCATGTGCGGGATATACCCTTGTCAGACACTCTCTCATGATCAGTATATTGGACATCGTATATCTGTATCCAGGCATCACTTTTTTGGCATGCTGCTCTCTCAAATAATAATAATAATAAAAATAATAATAATAATAATAATAATAATACTATGTAAATGTTGCGTATTTGGAGTTGAAGATAGAACAGTAAAGTGTATAATCAGTGAATGAAGTAATAATGGCTCGGAAAATAGCAGAGACGAGTTTCATTTCCAGTTGGGTTCGTTATATTCACTTACGCGAAAATGCCTTTGGGAAAGAAATGAATCAACCTATTCTCCCCCCAACTATGGGTTAATTAGTAAGACTTGTAATAGTAAATCATTATTACCTCCAAACAGATTCTTAGAATCTAAGAAATATTTTCTCGCTTTAAATAACTTGCAAAAGTGTAAAAGTGACTTGGGTTTGGCCATTTGCATGACTTTTTCTTTTTCTTTTTCTTTTTCTAATTCTTTTTCTTTTTCTTTTGATTACTGTTATTCTCCTTTTCTTCTTCTTCTTTTTTTTGTTCTTCTTC